TTTTTTTTTTTTTTTTTTTTTTTTTTTTAAAGCGGCATTCTGGAAGTGCGTATCGGAAGTTGAATTTATTTTTTTATTTTTTTTTAATACAGAAAATAATTTATGCCAAGCAGAAAAGAGGCCGGGGACCTTACAATTCGACCCGGGGCAAGGTCCCACTTGCACCGATTAAGAGATTCTGGCCGTTGATTTTTGCTATCCTATATACGGTCAATATCGCTTAATTCGTGTAAATGGGACCTTGCCCCCGGAGTTATCCCGGCAGCGGGCAGCCGGGGGCTAGGTCCCCCTTGCACGAATTAAGAGCTACTGACCGTAAATAGCGAAGATCAACGGCCGAAATCTCCTACTTTGCGCAAGTGGGACCTTGCCCCGGTTTAGCTTACAGCCTTTCGGCTGGGGACTCCTTAAAGAGTCTTCAAAACCAAAACAACACTGATCGAAACACGCATAAATCGAGAAATGGTCCAAATAAAAAAAAAAAAGAAAAACGAAAAAGGAAGAGGCCAGAAAAGATCTATTTTGTTTGTTTTCCCCAAATTGTGCTAATCTGATTGCATCGGGATCTGAAGCCGGGAGACTCGTAAAGGTATGCGCCCCCCCCCCCTTCTGTAGACCCTCTGGAGAACCTACTGGCCGACTACCGTCTTCCCCGGAATACAACGTACGGTCATTATAGCTGTATTTAGTCTGAAAGACACCCCAAATACAGCTATAATGACCGTACGTTGTATTCGGGGGAAGAAGGCAAGGACGGAAGGTAACTTTCATAGTCTGGGAACAATTCCCACTAGCAGCGTTGAGTTTCTTCAATAATGCCTGAATGTGGACGGTGTTTGAGTAAATGTGCAGAAGTCGCGTTGAGTTTCCTCGACGGCACATCTCCACAAACACGTCCAGATTCAGGCGTTGGCAGCGTTGAGTTTCCTCAATAATGCCTGAATGTGGACGTTGCTTGAAGAGACAATGTGTAGAAATAGCGTTGAGTTTCCTCGACCCCACATCTCCACAAACACGTCCAGATTCAGGCGTTGGCAGCGTCGAGTTTCCTCAATAATGCCTGAATGTGGACGTTGCTTGAGTAA